CCCAAATACCTGACCCACAACATTCTCACTATAACAAAATGCTGTTTTAAACCACCATGATTTGGGATAGTTTTTTATGCAGCAGTAGATAACTAGAATGGGGGGGTTCTATGATCCCTGGGAGGTATGACCTTTGTTTTGTGCTGCTGTTGAGACTGGTAATTTATAAAAAACAGAAAAGTATTTCTTCTTGCTGTATTATCCCATGGTAGAAGGCAGAGGGGGGAGAGAACATGCATATGGTAGATGATTAATTTATCCTTTTCTCAGGAACCCACTTCCACAATTACAGACCCACTCCTGCTAAAATGGAATTAATGGATTATAGTGGTAGTGGGTTAGGTATTACAGGATATCTAATGACCTCTTAAAGGTCCCACCTCTTGGCCGGGCTCGGTGGCTCAGCCTGTAATCCCAGCACTTTGGGAGGACAAGGCGAGTGAATTGCCTGAGCCCATGGGTTCAAGACCTGCCCGGGCAACTTGACGAGACCTTTTCTCACAATAAATCAAAAACGAGCCGGGTGTAGTAGCGTGTGCCTGTAGTTCTGGCTACTTGGAAGGCTGAGGTGGAAGGATCACCGGAGCCCAGCAGGTCGAGGCTGCGGTGGCCGGGAGAGTGCCACTGCCCTCCAGCCTGGGTGACAGAGCGAGATTTCGACTAAAAAAAAAAAAAAAGGCCCACCTCTCAACACTGTTGCATTGGGGATCAAGTTTTCAACACATTCAAGTCATAGCACGTGTCACTAAACAAACCTCTGGGCACACACATCTGTTCCTGTGGATCTGGGCAAAGTAGGTCAGGCCCCAATTGTCTGCCCATGTTGAATATGTTGACAAAATTGAGCTTCCGAGCCTGAAGTGCTGAGAAACTCAAAGGCCAAGATTGTTCGATCTGCCCACCTTTCTTACTATCTCTCCTTTACTCTGTCTCATGTCAAACAAGCCAGATCAGGGAACTGGATAGAATGTCACAAGGAAGTTTACCATCAGATGTGTCCGCTGCTCAGCATCACTCATGTCACCTCCTCTGTGCCGAAGACTGTGCCTAGCACTGGGGTAACAGAGGTGGGACATAGGCCCAGACCACAGAGCTTCACAGCCCAATCTCTAAGCCATATAAACAGGTGATGATAAGAGACATGAAATGACACATATGCGCACAGGGAATCGGGAGCTCAGGAGGGGCCACAGACCCAGATAGTTCACAATAAGAGCTACAGAATAGATACCTCATCATTCTCGGGATCAATATATATTTGAAAACTATAAATTTTATATAAACTGACATATAAATTTAACATATGTTCGTATTTTGCTTTTCAGCACTCGTTATGAAGGAGAAAGGTGCTGGCATTAATGGAGTAAGACTATTTTTACATTTCCCAATTTCTACCCTATCCCTATAATGCTTCCCTAAGCTGATGTTATTACTCTTACATATAGTAATGCAGTTTTTTACAGCTGGGGGTACAGGGGACCTTGTGGTTGGCTGTCCCTATGCCCATTCCACTCCCCTTCCTACCTAATTTGGGTAGGAAGGACCCCAACCCCAGCTTTAAGGATCAGTTGGCATGGAGCTAAGCTAATTAGGGTGTGTCTGTCTCCCCCTGGCCATATGATGTGTTCAGAGATGGGTAATTAACCTAGGTCAAGCAGTCAACCAACATCTTCCAAGAAAACTGCAGAAAAACAAAGCTGTAACTTTTTTGGCATTTAATTTAGAGATGAGGTCACACTATGTGCCCAGGCTGGTCTCCTGGACTTAAGCAATCCTCCTGCCTCAGCCTCCTGAGTACCTGGGAATACAGGTACATGCCAAAGCTGTAGCTTTTGTGAATCACTGAATCTCTAGTGCAAAGTCCACATGAAGGACATTCAGCTATTGGAGCTTTCAGTTCTATGAGCCAATAAAGCTGATTTGAGTGGCAACCAGACAAATATTATTATCATTATTTTATTTATTTATTTTTAGGGAGATAGAGTCCCTCTGTCATCCAGGCTGGAGTAACAAATTCTGATACAAAGTGGATCACTGAAACACATCCTCTTCCTCAAAAGGACTGTTAACTGGCCCTTATAGATGTACAATACTCTGCTCTTTATTAACTCACATGTGGTGAGAAATGCTAATGTATCTCTCATGGACAGCCCAAGTTCGAGTGACCCAAGATCTTTGGACACAAGGACTGAAACCAGGGATCTCTCCTTGACCCGGTCCTGGGCTTTCCTTTAAAAGGCCACACATTCCTAGCTTTCTATTGTTTCCTCTTCCTCCTTCTAAGGCCATCTAGGATTTCTTGGTAGTTACTGCTCTAGAGATAATACTGAGCAGATCTTTCCCTGAGAACTGCTCAGTTCTCACTCCTGAGGCATTCACTAGACCTCTCCCATCTCTAGAGGTTAAATCAAACGGGAAGTCAACAGGACTCTGGTTTCTTGGCTTAAAAGAGCTGGGTCCACAAGGAGTGATTTTTTGGCCATCTCTCAGTACCTTGTGATCTGCCCCCTGTAAACCTGAAATAATAGAAAGGACCAGAATCCAGTTTTAAAGAGTTTATTCAAGCAAAAATCTGGGAATGGACAGTTTATTCAAGTAAAAATCTCAACCCCCAATCTGGCTTTCTATGGTGTGTGACTCAGATCTGCCTCTTCATCTTGGATGGTGCCAGATCAGAGCCAGAAATGTAGTCAGTGCTCCAAAGTTAAATTCTTGCTTACAGAGGCAGAAAACAAAGGTTAGTAGGATTTTTCTATACAAGATTGGTTTATGAGTTACAATCTGAATAGTTACAGCTTGTTTTCTTTTCCATGTGGCTTGTTTTCATTTTCTTTCCAATTTAAAAGAGTATATTTAACATTTCATCTTAAGACAGTGTGATAGCCATGAAGTCTTTGTGTGAGAAAGGTAAGAGAGAAGTTCATCTATAATGAACAGTGAAAGAGAAAAAGGTCTTCCCTGGAATCCTTATAGGCATTTACAACATTTTACAAAACAATGTAGGTAAGGAAGAAAGCTAATCTATAATTAGAGGAACAAAGGTTACAGCTGCTTACATTACAGCCGCCTGTTTATGTGATTTGAGTTCCATAATCACATAATCACCTTCCCTTAAAGTTCCAACAGCTTAGATTTTGAATTACTTATTTGCCACACTACTAAGTCTCAGAAACACGAGCCCAGCAGGGAAGGCCTCAGGAGAGACAGCAGCCACAGAGGCTGGGTGCAGAGGATTCAGCCCTGGCTGTAGTCAGTTTTGTCCTTCAAACCCTCAGAGTCATTTTCTCCTGCATCCGCAACCCCCAGTCTGGCTTTCTGTGGAGTGTGGCTCAGATCTCATTCTCCATCTTGGATGCTGCCATACCCAAGCCTTTGTCACTCTACACCACGACCTGCATAGTGTTTCTCGTAGGCCATCTTCATCCCATGCCTGTTCAAGAGCCTACCATAGCCCCTCAGAGGACCCAGGACCCTGAGCCTGGTCTTTAAGGCCATTCTCAAAGGCCTGGCCTGGCCCCAGTTCCCACAGCTCCCTCATTTTTGACTCCTTCCCCAGCACAGACACATGGCCAGCAGATGGTTGGCCAATGCAGCGAAAGGCCTGCCTACTTCTCCCATGGTCAGTGACTACCACATACCCCTGTAGAGGGCACTTGTGAATCAAAGCTCTGTCCCCCAACCTTAGAACAACTTCTCCTCCCAGAGTTCTCTCTCTGAAGTTACCGTTTATTGATTTACTTACTTCTTTGTCTTCCTCCAAGGAACACATAAGCCCCATGAAAACAGGGATCTCATTTCAGTGAACTGCAGCACTGAAAACCATGCCTGGGACATGGTAAGTTTATTAATATTCATTGATAGTCATTAGGAAGACGGATTCCACATTAATCCCTAAAACCTCATCTCCTAAAACCTCTCCAACTCAGGCAACATTGGTCAGTGGTAGGTTTTCCAGTCTCTGCAGTAGGCAGAGGGCTATCTGTCATGCCTGCTCATCTCTGTGTTCCATTAGAAAAATCCTTCTTATTGGACATTTATTTATTTTCGTTTTATTCCGAGCTAGGGTCTTGCTCTGTCACCCAAGCTGGAGTGCAGTGTCACGATCATAGCTCACTGAAACCTTGAACTCCTGACTTCAAGCAATCCTCTTGCCTGGGCTTCCCAAAGGGCTGACATTATGAATTTTTTTTTTTCCTTTCGAGTTGGAGTCTCACTCTGTAGCACAGGCTAATGCGCAGGAGCATGCTCACAGCCACTGCAGCCTCTACCGGCTGGGCTCAGGTGATCCTTTCACCTCAGCCTTACAAGTAGCTGGAACTATAGGCATGCACCACCACACCTAGGCAATTTTAAAATTTTATTTGTAGAGACAAAGTCTCACCAAGTTGCTCAGGCTGGTCTCGAACGCCTGGGCTCTGCCTCCCAAAGTGCTGGGATGACGGGTGTAAGCTACCCGGCCTCGCTGACATTAACTGCTTAATAACAAAAATGCACCTTTTCCTTGTTGTCTATGATTCTACTTTCACTTCCTGAAAAGCAACATCGTTTTTTCCCCTAAGGAGAAATTCACTTTGCAAATTACTGAAAGGCTTCTGTAACTCTCCTGAAGTGACTTCCTTTGGGAAAAGTCTGTGGTAGACACGAACCCCACAGAATCAGGGATTCTAACATCTGTCAGCTTATATGTTTGCATCTGCTGTTCTCTTCCCAGGACAGCCCCTCCTCTCCGAGGCTCTGTCCCCTTGAAGCCTCCAGGTCGCCCACTTGCTGGTGCCCTCCTGATTGACCCCACTCACCGACCCGCTTATTTCAGCTCAAGGGGATCTGCCCGCAAGTCGCACTTTCTCCCCACAGATTTCCCGCGAATGACCCTGGCCTCAGTGAGTCCCGGGCTAGGTCCCCGCGTCCCCGGCTTTCTGTCCAACGCCTCCTCCATCTGCAGCCTCTGTGTCCCGGTGCCCTCCCTCCAGCCCCAGGTCGCGGTGCCCCCGCCCGCTCACCTGGAGCTGATGCATCTGCAGAGCGTAGCCTCGCACGAACACCTGGAACAGGAAGCGCAGCGGCCCCACGCTCGGAATCTCCGCTGAGCTCCGCAGCC